AGTTAAGAGTTAGCTTGAATTTTGTTGTGACGATGGTACCTCGCTCTGATGATGTCCGTCATATGACGGACGAAAGCTTAGCACCTTTTTACTGGAATCGAAGGAGATTGCCTGGGATACAGCGTCAGCATGAATGCTCCAGTAAAGCCAATCTACAGTTTGACAAGAGAAATCGGCCGTCGTCTTCTGGTGGAACCAAACTTCGAATCTCTTCAGCCAACACTTTTACTCGAAATGGAAGTAAGCTCAACAATTAGTTAAACCTATTAAGTATTCTGGCTTCAGAAACAATATACATAGTTGATGTTGAAGTACCTTTTATTTGGTATGAACAGGCGAGTGGAAGGGATGCATAAGTCGGTCTCACCGGATTGCCTTGAAGCTGTGATTGTAGATTTGTGCGAATAGATCCTCGGCGCACCGCCCTGTGACCCCGATCAATCCTTACTGAACTGTCGTCCGTCATGACAGATTCTTCAAAATCCAGTTTTTCTACAATATAGATGGTTGTTGGGTCATTAGCTTGACAACGTAAAATAAAAAACTTCTCACCGCATAAATAGTCAATGGTTTTAAAATCTTGGCCGTCAATATCCTAATCGGAATCCGGGCATACCTCATGTGGGAAACAGAACAAGATTCAAGCTATACTGAGGGATGTCTGGATGGGCAAACTAGATCGGAATACTCAAAAGGAGACTATTCTGAAAGAAGTCATATGATGGGAATAATCCTCGAATTTCAGTGTCATCACAGCTACAGAAGGAAGATCGAAATAATGAGGAGTATGATCATCAGAAGCTTAATACTAGCGAACACAGAGTTCTGGAACGAGGAGTTGGAGAAATGGACTCGGATTTGCCTTAGTAACGGATACCCAAGAGAATGTATAGAAAGAAATATAGGGGTCATAAAGAGCAGATTTCCACTAGGATTTGATGCAAATAAGATCATAAATCGAGAGGGCGACAAAAAGTGGATGTGCCTGCCTTTCTGTAAACTGAGCCATAAATTGCGACCGCTGATAATAACATGGAATATCAAGGCGATAACAAAAGAAAAGACAACACTCTTCACAAGCTTGCCGACGCAACAGAAGGTTGGCAAAGTGGATTGCTCGATAGTCTATAGCGTCAGATGTGGCAACTGTGAGCCAAAGTGTATTGGTGGAACTGGAAGAAAAGTCAGCCTACGAATCAAGGACAGTCAGTCCAAGTGAAAGAGCCGAAATAGCAGAACACATCGCACGAATGGGACACGAAACCGAGTGTAAATGGACAGAAGGGCTGACTGCAAATGGTGGAAATACAAGAAGACGTGAGATACGAGAGGCCATTGATGTTCTGACCGAAAGATACCGAAAGAAGAGGAGACTGGAAGAGGGAAAATTAGCGAAAACTTTGCCTGCTGCCTGAATACACGCGAAGAAGATCATGGAAGAGGAATATGAGCAAAAAGAAGACGACTGGAAAAGAGTGATTTCCTTAATTTTAGCCAAATAAATGATGGGCGACGAGAGAGGAACAATCGGGAACCAAGAGAAGACGCCTACAGCGAGCCTATTCAAACGAAGAGAAGGCATCACAATTGCTGGTTGTCACGCGATAGAATGTGAAAGAAGAACGACGGAAACGGAAGT